ATCAAGGGTCTTCCTCTCCTGCCCCATTCCCTCCACTCTCCCAAACATGATGTCCCTCTCTAAGGACCAGTCCCTCCTTGCTACATGCCCAAAGTATGTCAGACGAAGCATCAGAATCCTTGCCTCCAAGGAGCATTCCAGCTTCACTCTCTCCAAGACAAACCTGTTTGTTCTCCTAGCAGTCCATGGTATATTCAACACTCTTCTCCAGCACCACAGCTCAAAGGCATCAATTCTCTTTCTATCATTCCTATTCGCTGTCCAATTCTCTGATGCATAGCATGTAATTGTGAAGACTATAGCCTGAATCAGGTGCACCTTAGTCTCCAGTCTGATGTTATTGCTCTTCAGTACTCTTGAGAGGTCCCTCACAGCTGACTTTCCCAATGCAATTCGTCTCCTGATTTCCTGGCTGCTGTTACCAAGACTGTTGACTGTGGAACCAAGTAAACGAAAATTGTTAACTATCTCAATCTCTTCACCATCCATATTGATGCTGCCAATTGTCCCAGTGGTGAGAATCTTTGTTTTCTTGATGTTGAGCTTCAATCCATATTGAAGTCTACAGTCCTTGACTTTCTGCAGCAAGCGTTTCAGGTCCTCCTCAGTTTCAGCAAGCAGGGTTGTGTCATCTGCATAATGCAGGTTGTTGATGACTCTTCCACCAATCCTGATGCCACATTCCTCCTCGTACAACCCAGCATCTCGAATGATCTGTTCTGCATACAGCTTGAAAAGGTGTGGAGACAAAATACATCTCTGACAGACCCCCTTCTTGATTTTGAACCATGTAGTGTCTCCTTGCTCTGTTCTGATGACTGCCTCTTGGTCCAAGTATATGTTTCACCTTAGCACAATCAAATGTTCTGGTATTTCCATTCTTCTCAGAGTCAGCAATAGCTTGTTGTGATCCACATAGTCAAAAGCCTTTGCATAGTCAATGAAGCACAGATAGACAGTCCTCTGGTATTCTCTGCTTTCTGCCAACTAACATTAGCTATAATATTCCTAGTACCATGACCTCTTCTAAATCCAGCCTGCACATCTGGCAGTTCTCTGTTGACATATTGTTCCAAATTTTTTTTTATAATTTTCAGTGATATTAAAGATATTGTTTGATAATTTCCACACTCTGTTGGGTTACCTTTCTTTGGAATGGGGACAGATGGTGATCTTTTCCAGTCACTTGGCCAGTTCGCTGTCCTCCAGGTTTCTTGGCACAACTTAGCACATCCAGGGCAGCGTCAGTTTGTTGAAATAAATCAATTGGTGTGCTGTCAACTCCTGGAGCCTTGTTTTTTGCCAATTCCTTTAGAGCAACTTGAACTTCCTCCTTCATCACCATAGGCTCTTGCTCATATGTTATTTCATGAAATTCCTCTGTGTCAGTCAATTCCTTCTGATATAGTGACTCTGTGTACTCCTTCCATCTTCTTTTGATACTTCCTGAATCACTTAACATTTTACCCAAAGTATCCTTAAATATTGTTGCCTATGGCTTGAATTTGTTTTTCAACTCCTTCAGCTTAAGAAACGCTGAGCGAGTTTGACCCTTTTGATTTTCTGACTCCAGCTCTCTTTACATTTCATTATAGTATCTTGCTTTGTTGACCCAAGCTGCCTTTTGAAATTTTCTGTTCAGCTCTTTGTTTTCTTGGTTTCTTCATTTAGAATAATAATATTCTTTCTATATTGTTTCCACTGTATTAGTGGTAATGCTAATTGCTTTACATGCAATATCTTGATTCCCCACACATATCTATGACATAGAATCATTATGAGCTCTGTTTTACAAATGAGTGAACAACAGAGTTTTGTTGTTAGGGTTGAGCCTGCTCCAATTCAGAGTGATCCTGGAACAACAGAAGGAAATCCTGCTCAATCTTGTGACAGTCTCACAACTTCTGTTGTACTTAAATCCATTAGCACAGTCTACCACTGGACCAAGAGGCAGCATCAGGATGGATGGTGAAGAGATTGAGTTTGTTCACAGCTTTAGTCTACTTGGCTCCACAATCAACTCTCTTGGCACCAGCAGCCAGGAAATTAAAAGACGTATTGCGATGGGCAAGTCTGCTGTTAGGGACCTCTCCAAAGTACCAAAGAGCAATGGTGTCACTCTGGAGACTAAGGTGCATCTGATACAGGCCATGGTCTTTGCAGTCACTTGTTATGCATCAAAGAGTTGGATAATGACTAGGGAGGATAGAAGGAGAATTGACGCCTTTGAGCTGTGGTGCTAGAGAAGAGTATTGAATGTACCATGGACTGCCAAGAAAACAAACAGATTCATCCTGGAGAGGGTTAAACTGGGCTGCTCCTTGGAGGCAAGGATTCTGGGGCTTCGTATGACAAACTCTGGACATGTTGTAAGGAGGGACAGGTCCTTGGAGAGGGCCATCATGCTTGGGAGGGTGGAAGGACAGCGCAGAAGGGGAAGACCCTCTATGAGGTGGATTGATTCAACGACTGGGGTAATCAGAATGGGTGTGTCAGAGGCAGTGCGATTGGCACAGGATAGAGTAGGATTTAGAGCTGTTGTACATAGGGTCGCTATGAGTTGCAAGCGACTCGATGGCACATAACAACAACAACAACAACAACCTCTTTGAAGCTCTTCCTCTCTTTCACTGACCCCCTCTTTTCCCCTAGTACGATGTCCTTCTCTAGGAACTTCTTGTTGTGTTTGTTGTTGTCAGGACCAAACCACAGCTGACCTTCCCACAGGTTCTCAGAGACAGTAAATCCGATGAGAGGAGATTATCCATTCTCCTCCTCTTTAGGGACATGCCCATTGTGAGATGAAGTTTCTCCAATCTTGCCTCTAATGAGCAATCTGGCTACTCTTCTTCAAAGAAAGATTTGTCTGTCTTTTGGCCACCCATGACACAGTTAATGTTCTTCAACAACACCACAATTTAAAGATATCAATTCTCAACCATCCTTGTCCAACAAGTGAGTACACATGAAGCAGCTGAAAATGGTACCCAAAGGCAGATGCTACCAAGTGAGCCAACGATAGTGGCCTTGAAATTATGGGTCAAACATGGACTATAGACCTATATATAGACTTATGGTATCAGGCTGAGCTTGGTGTCAAGGACTCAAGTAACCTCAGGTCTCCAATGGGACCCTTGGTCTTGCAGCCATGTTAACAGTGCTTTGTAAGGCATAGAGAAGGACAATCCTCTTCCTTTTGACCCTCAGAAGTGTACTCCTGAGGGACCCACTTTCCTTCTTCCACACTAGGGTTGGTGACCCATCTATGCCCCCTCCACAGCCAGAAACCTTCAAGATGGGTGGGGTATAATTTAAAAGACCAGTTAAACTGGAAGAAGGTGTGCATTTGGTGAGGATGAGGGATGGCAGCTTAAAAGAAGGTGTTTACTCTCCCAGCTACACTAAGCAACTTGCAGCAGTATCTCTGCACAACTTGGCATGTGTATTGTACATGAGTGGTGACTCAAGAGTGTGTCTGTAGACTTGTTTTTCCTGAATCTCAGGTTAGACTGCTTCAGAATAGGACAACTTAGAAGAAGAGCAGTTCACTGGAGAATCCCCCCTTCCCTACTACACTCCTGTTATCCTCACTTCAAGACTTTATTTTTTTTTTTTTTTTTTTTTTTACTTTTTTTACTTCAAGACTTTAGATGAGGAAATTTATTATTGCTAATTTTTAAAGGAGCTTTGGTGGCACTGTGACTGAAACAGCATCGTGCTGTTCACCAAAAAGTGCTGCTGCTCAGTGATAAAAAAGTCGTGGCAGTTCAATCCTGTAAAGATTTACAGCTTTGGATACCCTCTGTGGCAGTTTGCTTTGTCCTATAAGGTCTCTCTGTTGGCCTAGTGGTAAGGAGCTACATTGTCAACCAAAACGCATGTGGTTCAAATCCACCAGCTGCTCTGTGGGAGCAGCTCTTTGGTGGTTCAAATCCACCAGGGAAAGATGCTTCCCACTTGACAGCACATACAACACAGGGTATCTAGGAATTGGCACTGACTGTAATCAGTTTGTTTTCTCTATAACTCATTCATTGCTGTGAGGTCATAGACTCACAGCTGACCCTGAAGCGGATTGTCAAGATTGCATATCATCCAGGAATAGACTGTTCCTCTTTCATTAGTGGATTCCAACTGTCAGAGAATTGTCATCTTTGAATTAGCAGTGCAACTCTCTACCCACTAGCCCATGAGAGCTCTTTTTATCTATTATCTAAAATTTTACAATGCTAAATAAGCGCCTATTAACATAAGTCACAAATAGTTGGCCTCATCTTTATTATTTCTTTAAAACAGCTATGGAGTGCTAGGGGGTAGGTAAATGGGCATGAACATTGTAAGGCATTTGGTTTAGAATGTCCAATCCAAAATACCAGAAGAATCCTACCAATAGAATAAGAGTCCAAGTACCATTAAAACATCTTGTTTTGAATTGAAAATGAATTGAAAAGGAGTATTCTATGATTAAATCATATAGGTTGCTGAGTGTGGAGAAGATTGCAGCCCACTCCTGTACCCCTGCCGGGACAAGGCAAGGAGACCAATTAGCAGATTGTGGGGGTAATGGCATTGGGACCTGTTGCGGGCTTGAGCTAGGCAACAGGAATGGAGAAGACAGAAGTTGCCCTGAGGGATGGAGAGAGAAACACACACACACACACACACACAGAGAGAGAGAGAGAGAGAGAGAGAGAAACAGAATGTTTGATAAGGCAAGAGGGGAGCTGCAGGAGAGGGAGTGCAGAAGAGCGAGGTTACAGGTCGGCGCTGCCGGCTGCGCTCCCTAGTGCAACGGGTGGTTGAAGTGGACCCAGGCGCAACACCCTCCCACCCT